CACCCGCTGAGTTGTAGGATTCTGAGAATCCGCAAGGGCGGAGATAAGAAGTACAGCTGTTCCGGTGGCGGGTTTTCTCGAAGATGTAGGACCTTTAAAAAGGTGTTTTGATAATTGTTTCCTTGCACTCTAGACTCTTTCACGCTGCTGAACAGCAAGCTCCTTTCGCATATTTATTTTTTATCCTAATTTTTGTCGGAAATATAAAATTTTGAACCCTTGTTTACATGGTTCATGAAGTTTGAGATCTATGGTTGCGAAATAATGCCAAAATTTGAAAAGTGAACTTTCACCATCTAAATCATCCTCTCAAAAAATTAGCTCCTCTTTCGCCTTCCTAGTAGCGTTATAAGTGGGGTAACAACAGAGTTGATTTCTCTTCTAGAGTGTGGTTTGAGTTTTCAGTTTTCTGGCAAAAAAGACTGCTCACATAAATTGTTTCTATTGGTAAAATTGCGCGATTAACTTTGTAGACTACTATTCCATGGTATTTTCAAAGTTTTCACGATCTTGTTTCAGGACTTCCGGTTCCTCCATCTGTAATCTTTTCAAGATCAAAATTTTTTTTCATTCGATTGGTGAGAATATTTCTGAACTGCTAGCTTTTAATAGAGCCCCTACTTCATCCTAGTCATCGAAGCGATTTCTACCGTACACCTACCGTACCTCGCACATTACGATAATGCGAAAAAAGTGTAAGCTTTGCTTGGACGAGCGTAGCAAATGTTTTTTCTTCAAGTTTAGAATCCCTATAAATCTACAGCATTCCGAAACCATTCCACGGTCTTCCGAATTTGTGAACGGAAATCTTGGCGATTTTTCCAGAAATTTCGCACCTTCTGTAAGCGGTATTCCATGCTCCGCTTATGTTTCAACAAATGTGAAACAAATTGAACCATTTTCACATTAGAACTGATCTTTGAGGTGTCGCGCACCATTGCCCAACATCGTCCCCGGAGACATACTGCCTGTCGGACACTCAGCGCGACACTGTCGTTAACGTGTTAATAAAGTGCTCTGATATTTGTCACTACTATATCGAAGCGCTGGAAAAAACATTACCACAATTTATGTCCTACTTGCACACTCATTTTTTACTAAGATAAAGCTCATATCTTCTCGTCCAAAGACGCTCCGCAGAATTGGAAGGAAGATTTGAATCCACCGTTTTACGCCCTTCAATATGGTATACATCCCATCTAAAACACTTGTTCATTGTCCCTTCCTTTAGAACGGTTGAAGTAGAGGTGAGCGGTTTGAATGAAACCCGAAAGACTACTGTGTAATGGACCACGTATATGCGTCTAGCTCGGATGTATAGCTGCCTGATCACATTCGTTACTGCGTGAGTTACATACCAGACTGCTCCGACATGCACGGTAATGGCCTGATTTGCGTGGAAGATTTGGTGATATTAATTTGAATAAAGCTAAAAGATGTACACAAAACCAGTTCTTAATTAGAACTAGCTGGATCAGCCCGTCCCATTTTACACCAAGTGCTGGTCTTTTTTATCTTAACACATCCAAAATTTCTTGGGAGACGGTCAAGAGGCGTGATTTGTCTGGCTGTCACCAACATAAAACCCCAGTATTATGCTATGCGCGTCTTCAAAAAGTATCAGATAAAGTGCATTGGCTTACTATCTGTCTGAGGTAACCACGTACTGAATTTGATGGCTTTTGCTGGAAAACGGACCGAAATATTTCCAATTTTGTTCTTAACTGCATTTTCATGGGTTTTTGACCTTCAAAATTGCTGTCTTGAATTGATTTTAAGGTAGCAAGGTTAAGCAACCCATGCAACTATCTGATATATCTTCTTCCATAGTCTGAATAATTTTAGAAAGTTATAAAACACTTATTATGTGCTATTTGGTATCCATCTGGTAAAAAAAATCGCGCCTCATGCATACACCAAGATTTCTTGGCTTATGGTCATACTACCTGGTGTTCTAATTTTGTCCCAAAATTATTTCAGCCGTTTCTGTGATGGTGAATCTATTCTAAATCTGTTAGTATCTCATTCATCACACGAAATCCATAATCATATTCAGACATTCTTCTGCGCTACCGAGATGATTACAACAAGTTTGTTCATGTCAGCTTTATACACAACATATAATTTATATATCCGGGTGATCGTAGTCGCATTTCAGCTGAACTCATCAAGCGATGTGTTCTTCTTCGTACCAGCACGTACAGCCACAGTTTGCGCAATAGACGCGAGATTTGACTCAGTAGGTTGATACAAATCTTGAGAAACCTTACAGGTGCAAAATTTTCCATTCGATCGTCAAGAATGCGCAATCAATATGACGTTTCAACTTTGAGTACGGTATCAAGCTTGCCTTTGCTCCGGCTCTACTAAACACATAACTGCTTTTGACAATATGGTAATCTTTACATGCTGCAAGCAAATTCCTGGAAATTACATATCTGTTTTAGGGTAACGAATAATGGAGAATTAAAAGTGTGACAATGATGAGAGTGCATCATGATATAGAATACGAGGATCCTGTCGAAATAGTACGCAGCCTAATTTCACGCGTACAAGGAGCGCCTTTTTCGATTTTTCAAATGAGCCGCTTAGCAGCTTCACTGTATCTCGGGAAGCGATTTTTATGCCGTACGATTCTTTTAAGCAATATACAGCAAGCTATGGGGTCCTTTGGTTACGAAGTCCTTCGGCGTGGTTATGGAAAAAATACCCCCGCGCCTTGTACGTGTGAAATTAGGGTAATTGTTTTGGCTATCGACTCAAAAGAGAGATACGAAGGCATTAAACCAAATAGGATTTTAATAAAAAATTTTCCCAGTTTAATATTAGGTTGAACACTAAGTTTTGCAACTTGTTTCATAACTTCACTCTCATTCAACATGGCGCACTCAAATGGCATCATTAGAATGCAATGTGAGCTACAAGTGAGCACAAATTGTCTGAATTTTGAACACGAAATAGAAAAGTTCCAGGCATTTTTCGAAAACTAATAAAATTTGAGAATTTTTGAGGTTTCAAGCTAAAATGAAGCCTTTGGCAGCCTAGACCATGCGCAGTAATCCGGATTCGTCTACAAATTATTGCAAGAGGTTGACTCCTTTGGCCTTTTAAGAAAGAAACAAAATTCAGGGGCATGTTGAGATTTGGCGTCCTCATAAAGTCGAACGAGTCGATGTACGCAAGAGCTGCTGGGAACGACCGTCAATGACTAAAGAGTCCGAAGCTCAAATTCCGCCGAGACTTCACATAGTAAGGTTATTTGACCTGCCGAATGCGAATATCATATTCATTTGTTGAATCAACGCCTTTTTCCTTGTTTAGGGTGAGACCCATAACGTACACCTACAGTAATCCTACAAAAAAGCCCTTATCACGCAATTTCACCATCGTTTTCGTGATCAGCATGTCGGATAACACCCCTATGCCAAGTTTCAGCCAAATCCGTCAAACTTTGAATTTTTCCCCTTCATACCATACACCTACCGTAACCCTCACTGCGACGTCAGAATTTGGTAGAACAGCATCTGCGCTTGTAGTATACATAATAACCAACACAGTGGCAAAATTTGAGTGCACCATGTTGAGTGAGAGGGAAGTTATGAGAAAAGTTGCAAAACTTAGTGTTCAACCTAATAAAAATATTGATGGTATAATCACATCAATATGCTCTGATAACATCAATGAATATACTGCATTGCCGTGCTACACCAATGCTATCATGACTATGCTGTCAAAAATATATAAGTGTGAAGAAATAAGTGAGATAAATGTGTTAGACTTTTGCTCTTATTCAATCGCCGCAACACTTTTTTAGCTGTTCTATCCTTCGCTGCTATGGTCAGAAACTGCTCTCAGAACAATGATTTTCCGACCTTGCAAAAAACTGAAAGGATTTGTTCAGAGCAGTTTTATTATTCTGATGAAAAGGAGTCCATCGTTTTAATTACCATTATCACACCGTCCTTCGTCATCAATATACTGTCAATTTTTGGTGTTTTCCCAAAATCGGCTAACAGCATGAATTTTTTCTGTCAGTTGTACAATGTTGATTAAACAATTTGTAGCTCGGTATCGCTGACTAACATAATGTCTTTGACGTTTATATTAGGAATGCTCGCAACAGCACTGCCAAAAACTAAAGGATTACCAAAAATAGGTTAGTGGCTGGCATCGATTGCTTGAGCACAAATTAATTTCCAGTTTTTGTTTTTATATAAAACTAGCTGGCTTACCCGGCTCCGCCGTATGTTCCGAATAGAAAATTCCATTTCTGAACCGATCGGGACCAAACTTGGCACACATACACTTTGGGCCCCGGCGGGTGTCATAGGCTACTTTTCGTTATCGATCGATATCGATTTTATCGATTTTTTATTTGAGCTACGGGGCTGGAATTTGGCAGGGGGGTGTAATCGAGCATGCTGATCGCCCCCACGGGGGTGATCAGCATGCTCGATTACCCCCCTGTGCCAACTCCCAGCCCCGTAGCTCAAATAAAAAATCGATAAAATCGATATCGATCGATAACGAAAAGTAGCCTATGACACCCGCCGGGGCCCAAAGTGTATGTGTGCCAAGTTTGGTCCCGATCGGTTCAGAAATGGAATTTTCTATTCGGAACATACGTACATACATACAGACATACATACAGACAGACAAACAGACATTCAGCTTTATATATAAGATTTACTTTATAATTTGAAACATTTCAGCTATCTATGTTGTGGGGAATCTTCTAATAATGGTATTCGCGCTCACCGCAACACTTGTCTTACCGTATGTCAAGCAATATCTTTCCGGTCGGGGGGAAAACAGCACGGCTAGCGGCAAGAGGTGAGCAAACGTTCGAGTTACTGGCCCAATATTCTCGCTTTTTAGGAAAGAGGAAAGTAAACTGTATTGGCAAGTAGAATACGCGCTGTGTGTGCTGTTCGAAATTGCAAACCTCATCAACTTTATTGCACTTATCACGTGATTTCTACAAACTTCTCTACAATTACCTTTGAGGTAAATAAAAAGCTAAATGTGCAATAACATGTGCTCGACATAATACATACAAAACTTCAAACCAAATAGCAGCATTCTACATTGAAGTACTTTCCGAGTTGTTATAGCTCTTCACTAGGTTTCGGCACAGCTGGGACGGGGTCAAGCTGGATATCGTTTTTGAAACAAAAAGCAAAAAAAATATCGTTTTTCTGATCGAAAATACACAAAAATTGCGACGTTATTTTAGTCGACCTTTCGTTTTTGAGGTTAAAAGCACTTCGTACAAATTTTCCAAGAAAAAGGATTTTGTTTTCAAAATTACCCTAGTGTCAGCTCGTGCCGAATCCAGCTCTTCACTTACGCTCTAGTTAACGTGTAGTTCATTTATAAAATCGTGACGACGGATTTTACTGCGGATTTTGCGCCACAGGAGCATAAAACGCTCATACAAGAACGCATCACCGCAACGTCCAGCTCAGTCACTTCCAGTGTCTAAATGTTATCATATGTGAGCAAAAAAACCATCGGGCTAGAGATGACCAAGAAAATGCGATTTTCGGAAGTGGCGTGCATGTCGCGCGCGGTCGCGCCATCGTCACGATTTTTCAAATGCCCTATATCTTCCTTTACTTCCTTTGGTTCACAACCAATCTTCATATTTCACCTCCCACACAGCATGAGCGCACCCTAAAATTTGATGAAAGTATGGGACACCGTCGTCATTTCCATCACTTCACATGGGGATAGCACGTGTGACCAATTGACTATAAATTACATGTTTACGGGAAGCAAAACGACGTACATTTCTGCGGTTTCGTCCACTTTGAGGCACTTTTGCACCTTAGCGCATAAAGATGCGAAGCCGCCATGATAGCGTGTTTTCTGTGGCTCACAAGGGAATGGACAGGAGTCGAAGTGGCCAACTCAAACAAGCTGCATATCATTAGATGCGGTATAAAGACTGATTATAAACCTGTTCTTATCCTGGAACACTTATGGATGACGTTACAAGTTATTAAAGGCCGTTATATTGCTATCGTACCTGCATGGGCATATACGGCCGCACAGCGTCATCGGCTCATTACTGGACCAAATCATGAGGCTAAGTCACTTCATATGGCCCCGTGTTTGATGTAATAGAACGCCTCCCTAGAGAGGAAAACAAAAATAGTATTTGTGAAAATTAAGGAAATCGGAGCGCTACTGCAAGTCTATTTGAGAAGCTACGAATCAAGTATTTTTTACTTATCGGAAACCCATTTTCTAGACAATATTCTCTCCTTGCACCATGCTCGGTCTAAACTTTCAAGAAGGCAGCGCAACCTATTGCCACGTGTCAAAAAATTCATGTCATCTTTACGTTCGCAAGCCTTAGTGTTTGCGTTGGCTATCCAGCGTAAGTTCTTGTTGGCTAACCAATAACGATCCCATTTTTGATTCATCCTACCACAAATGAACAATAATAGTACAAGAATGTCATCCTAATTCAAATTACATATATTTGAACAGAGCAGTGCGCTGGGGTTTATTTTTGTATCTAAGCGAGGAAACAAGCGGAAGCAAGGCACTTTAAGCTATCTTTTGTGTACTTTCTTAGCTAATTCGCATGGCGGGAACAATTTAGAAGCAGCTGATGTTGTTTCTAACGTTCTGAATTGTTCTGCTTTCGCCAAAAAAACAGACATCTCTTTTGAGCTATCTCAAATGCTCTCGCATTCCACCAAAATGATTTCAAAAAATATTAACTTGAGCCAAACGAGGTAGCTTTTCCCTGACACGTAGCGGAAAAATTTATGAAAAACAGCAGATTATAGCACTTTTTCATGAGGCCCCTAAACTAGCGGGTCCGCTAAGAAACGCTAGTTTAGGGTAATTTTCTAAGTTTCGTTTTAAGTCCGTAGTGAGTGCACAGATGAGTGGTTTGATGCGCGAATACCCATAACCTTTGGGTAGTACAAAGGGTATTGTAAACCTGCTGTCTGTCAAATTTTGTAGCCAGAAATCTGAGAGTTTCTGAATATTTGCGGACGAAGATCAGCTTTTAAGCGATCATACAATCATGGACCGTTTACAGTCATGCAAATAGCTAAATTTGAATTTTGTTGCGTGAGTGCCAAATTCACATCGTACACCCAGTTTCAGGCGCCCACCTCCCCGAGAATAGGTCGCCAAATTTTCGAAATTTACCTACGCGGGTTATAAAAATCTGCAAATGACTCGTTTATTTTTGTAAACAATTAAAATAATTTTCAAAATTTTTTAAAAAATCAAATTAGCCTTATAAAAGATTTTTTTCGGGGCGTGGCTGACACCACATTACCTTTTTCCAGATTATAGGGGTTGGGGACCCGCAAAAATTTTGAGAAGCACCCTAAAATTTTTCCGGTGTGCGTGGTGGAGTGCGTGGCTAACGCCACGCACCTTCATTTGAAAAAAAAAACTTTAGTGCCCCTTCCCGGACGGATATCCTGGGACCGTCAATGTTCTCGAATAAAGAAAGTTGACCATCTGTGACGGCTCGGTGGGCCCTAAGCACCTAGATTTACCCGAGACACCCGCACGCTCGCCCGCTTAATACATACGACGCATCCTAGCCTACTAACTTGCCCTAGCGCGTGAAGAAACAATATTAAATTACTTACACTTTATCCTTATGACACAAAGGAAAACAACTAGACACTAAAATACTAAACTACTACTACAAAACTACTAACTAAAAGAAGAAAGACCCCAACACGGGACAGGGTGCCCTATCCCGTGCTACCGATGTTGCGCGTCTATATAACATCTAAACTTGCTAATGCTCCCGAGGCTTCACCTATACAGATCCGCCACGCGTCGCCGGATACCAGGCGCGACAGCCTCTCCGCTCCCGAAGTTTACAAGATATTGGATATCCCAAATCTCAAAGCTCCAAAAGTAGCTCGTCCGAAATAATTCCAACAGGCTTGAATCCCAATCCAATGTACAACTTTCGATCCGCTCGACCGCTAACGCAAAAGAGACATCAAAAGCGGGAGCTAACTGCCAAGCACGAGCACAATGGAAAACATACGAAAAGATTATCGATCGAAAACGAAAGCGAACAGACGCTGCAATGAGGCGTCGCCGCTATATATAGCCTTTTGGCTGGCAACGCGCCAAGGCGAGGAGAGGTCCAGCGGCGATTGCGGCAAACGTAAGAATGTGCCGTTATCGCCGCCGTGTAGCGCGGCAGCAACCAGTGCTCCCGGCCTCCTACTTCTAGGAGCGCTCGCATCGCGGAGCCGCGACACTCCCCCCAGAAGCAGTGGGCTTGGGCGTTCGAGAGGTGGTTACGTGATAGCGCCGGGGATCTGCGGTTAATGCCTTTAGCCGAAATTTTGGATGATAAAGCGAAAAAGAAGTAGGGTTATCCATCGGTAGCACAGTAAGAGCGCGGCAAAAAGATAGCTGTAATGAACCCGTCTCGTGCGAGAAGCATTAAACATCCACAACTCAGAAGAGCTACTGTGCGCAAAATAAAATGCTAAAACCTAATACTGAAGCGCACGCCACACTAACCATGTATCACTGCTGAAAAAATTATATAATCATGAAGTGAATATCATATGAAGTGAAATAAGTATAACAAGAACAAAAATGTGATTAGATAAACATGACCACAAAAAACGGCTAAATGACTAAATACTACCAAAATCTACTACTACGAAGGTGCTGAATATGATCCAAACTATGTACAGTAGGCAAAGGCTGCTGCTAGTTGACCAGAACTACCATATCCATGAAACGCACGACTACGCAAATGTGGTTCCACTTGACCAAGACGCGCTACGACCCACAGGCTCATGCTGTAACACATCAAAATTTCGAGGCCAACGGGTGTTATAAGGGAACCATGCTTACTGTGCTGTACCCGTCGTACGATACAAACAGTCCTTGCATTCACAGCCACATGCCTTCTGAAACCCCACCAGCGCGCAACTCTGAACAAAATTAAGGACGCGCAAACGCAAGCTGCATTTCCTAAGGCGAAAGAAATCACACGCTACGCTGCTTCGCTCCAGAATGGACATTAGTCCAGCCTCCCGCGGCAAGGGGACGCGCAGGCGAACCTAAGTCAGGGGGGGGTGCAAGAAGTGCGGCATGACATTCGCGCTACATAAGATGGTAAGGAAAAAAGCGCGCGTGCAGCAACCAACCCGATGAATTACAACGGTAAAGCGCTTGCGGTGCGTGGAAATCACAACAAAGCAGGAGGAAACCTTGATTTGGCTGGGACATAGACTGAGAAGGTGGCAAAAAACGCGGAACCTAAATACGGGGATTGCTATGCAGCTGAGATGAAACATTTAGCAAGAAAACATAATCGCTGCCTAAATCTAATGCGCTTTGGGGCCAGAAAACAGAATTGAGCTTTGCGCGAACTACAGTGCATCCAGATTAGGGACGGCAGAAAAAAGAGCTAATAAAAGAGCGCGTTACGATCTAAGCTCAATTTCTACGCGTAAAAGATCGCTGCAGTCCACTTCAGCGCGTGCGCGCTCATACAGCTGAAATTTTGTTGATTGACCCAACAATGCAAAAGTGAGGAATAGGCCCTGAAACGTGTCAAAGTTCCACAGCAAAACGCAATAAGGCCTGCTGGAGCATAAAAAGCGCGCAACGGTTCCAACCTCAGTCTAAGGCGCGAACAAACACAGCCTAAAGAAAAAAGGAGACGCAACAGAATGCTGTAACAGGATGGAATACTGTAGAGATCCTGCCTGTTCCTCGAAGCTTCCTTCTCGTTCGACCAGTGGGGATTCGTAGTTGGGTTTGGCCTGTCCACTTTCGCAATCTTCGGTTTCTAACGAACTGAACCTTGTATCCGAGGAGCGAGTTTCTGGAAAGTAAAGAACCAGCGGGACAAAAATGTACAGAAGGCGGATACATGACGCGAGTAAATACACGTATAAGTAAAGACCTAATCTAATACCCTAAAAAGGAATATACTACCGACCGAATCGAGATGCTAGGGGTCGCAGTAGGCGCAAAGACAAGAGTTAGATAGGGTTGT